GCAAAAGACTCAAAGAAGTACTTACCCAAATTACTAAATATAACCTGAGGTGGCACCTAGACATTGTGGATGACATCTCCATCTGGTAGACATTGGTCTTCCCCACTAGAATGCAAACTCTACAGGGCAGGGATCTTTATATTGTTTACCAATGTACCACAGGTACCTAGCACAGTGCTCCTGGGTGCTCAGTGCGGATTTGTGGAATGGACCAATGCCCACATGGAATCTGGAAGTGACACACTCCTGGCTCATGAGACCAAGCTGCCTACAAGATACAACAGGAATTACACACGCCTCTTCTACTTTCACGGTTACGTCATCCCTGGCTCTGAGACACGTACTGCCACCCAGGTAGGGAAAACAAACCAAACCCCAAACTCTGGTTTCTTTGTAACTTGCATCTTAGGCCTTTCTATTCTCAGGTCTTCGTAATCAGGTGTGTTGGAGATTCAGTAATCTCAGGAGCACATTTTAAAAATATGCTTACGTTTTATTTGGCCAAACAAGGAAATTTTAAGAAACATTCACTATTCCTATTTCAACATAATGTAATTTCAAAATGTAAATTTAATGTTAGAAGAAATGAGGATGACCTCCTATTTTAAAAAAATTGAATAAATTTGGCAACTTTGAAAAATTCACATTAATTTTTTTCCATTTCACCCGAGACCTGATGTGGGAACCACTGATCCTATTCAGTTCTCTCATTCAGTATCTTTCATTAGGTGCTGGAGATCTGAGTTAGCAAGATAAGCCTGTCTCTTGCCTTGAGAAGCTTACACGTGTTTGATGTGGTGAATACCCAGGGCTGTAGGAAACAAGACATCTAACCCAGCTCAAGAGGTCAGAGCAAACTTCCCAGTACAACTGCCCTTTACAGTACAGAGTTATCTCAAGAAGGAAACCTGGGGAAGAGAATAGATTTCCAGATAATGAAACAAAAAGGTTAGGATTTTTGTTTCTATTGCACTGTGCTGCCGCCTTTCAGCAAAAATTCTTCAGCCCCCTGTGAGCAGATCTCGCCACTTACTCAAATGGCCTCATTTTAGCTGAGGGTCCTAAATGCAGATTTATTGCTTTCCCTGCCTCAGTAGCCTTATGCTAATTAAATGAAATCTTGACAGCCAGCAGCTAGCTAACACCTTAAATCTCATCTTCATTTGAATTCAGCTGAGTTAAATAAGGACTGCCCCTGCGCATTGCCATTTTGGGTTAGGTCCTTCCTGAAAAGTCACCAGCGTAACTCAGAACTTGCTGGTGTTTCTTCAGATTGGCTTGGAGGAAGGTGGAGTGGAAGCCAGAACACACAGAAAATCAACCACGCATATTGCTGCTTCTGGAAGCTTTGTTCTTTAATGAGCCATGGGGTGATTTGTTCAACAAGCTGCTTTTGTGTAGCCATACAGTGCATATTTTGAGTGACACAAACTGCACTTTATACAGATGATTTCTTGTCCCCCCCCCCCCATAATAACAAAAAAGAAATTACAAAGTGCCTGTTGATTGCATCAGGAAGGTAATCAGTTCGGTGTTGAGATAAATCATTCTTCGTATAGAATTATTCTATTAAACAGTAAAATGATATTATATTTCACAGGATATGTCCTTTTACAATACATAGTCTTTTAAAAATTTACACTCAGCATACTTATAAATTACTTTAAATCCATTAAAATAATATAATACTAATCTGTAGTCCACACCTTTCCCATAGTAAATACAAATACTAGGTTCAAAAGGTGCAACTTTCATATGACATAGAGGGCTGATAAATAGGCATTAAGTATGGATGGATAGCAAGGTGACAGGCCCACTGATGGGGCTTTTGTGAAAACAGTTTCAACCAAGAGACCGACAAGACCTAAAAGATCCATCTCCACAATCATCATTTTGCTATTATCTTTTTAACACTAAATCAAATGAGGAAGTGGTTCCAGAGAAAAAATGGTGAAAAGTATTCTAGGGGCACAGAAAGATGACTCCCACAAATACCAATGAACTTTACTACCAAGGCCAGCATGGTATCAGGGGACAGTGCTGGGGAGTTGTCACCAAAGTATGGATGGATATAAAACATTGGTCGATACAGAATGATGCACGCCCCACACCCAGCTCCCAAGAAAAAAGGGGAAAAAAAAGACAAAGGATAATTAGGAAAGCCTTCTGGACTATGTTTCTTTTTAAAAGTAAAACTCTCTTAACTTTGAACACATCCTGAGAATCCTTTCTTCTCTCTAGTTCACCAAAGTGCTTGTGAAAGGTACACATTCATTAGTTACAGTCAGAACACACAGCCCACAGGCACTGAGGTGGACTATGGAACCTTGCTGGACCCTCATCTTTTCAGCACATTTCTGTGACCCTGTCTTTGACAGTAAAAATAACTCTATTGTGATGAAACACAGAAGTCTTCACTAACCTTCCAGCAGGGTAAGAGCTATGGCAGGTTTCCAAAGCATGAGACACAGTGGCTCTAGAATTCTATACCGTGACCTCAGGTCCTTCTGTCTCTCTCTGCAAGGCTTCCAGTGGGAGGGCTGCATATCCCTTTGTGTTTTCAGAAGCCCAGAGTGGCAAAATAATTTAAATGGCAGGAAGTACAAAGTGCGCTGCAAACTAAACATGTCACCTCCCTGAATCCTGCCTGTCTTTGCTGTTAATTTGCTTCAATTTGTGATACAGGATGAAATTATACTTTTCTGTTTCAGTTACATTTCCCATGATCCATACACAACCACAGGGATACACTGGCTTTAATGGGCAGAACTGAAAATCCAGGTTTTATTTGAGGCTGGGAACATGTGTGGTGACTACAATGCTGTGCATTTGGGAGGACCAGCTCCAAACGTGGGGCTGCTGCCTGCTGCTGTGCTGAGATTTCCTTCGAGGTGCCTGAGAAAGAAAATAAGGAGAAGCAATAGGAAATCACAACTGTAACACATATTAAGATTAAATATATTAATCCTAAGTGTTTTAATGCAGCATCACTTTATGGTGACTTAACTTTAACTGTGCAGAGGACCAGTTGAGAACAGATGGAAGAGGATACAGCATTTGGTTCTAAAGGTTTTTAAGAGTTATGGCTTCATCTCTTTGTTAGGCCAACAGGCCTGTTATCCTATGAGAACAACTGCCTTCTTGCTCTCAAAGGGAAGGGCCCACACTTGCTTTATACTCCTACAGCTCTGTGGATCTCTCCCTTCTCCACTTCGCACCCCCTCCATCCTAGTAGCCTGTTAAAGGACTAGAAATCCACAAACTAGCAACCGAAAAAACAAATATTTTTTATTTAATTTTATCCAAATTCAGGTTTTAGGTCCCTGAGAAAAACTATAAAGTCTCTAACATCCATCACCTAATTCCTATAAAGTGACCTATATCCGTAGTTTAACTGCCAAAACTTATCTTGCCAAAAAACCCCCCACAAAGATTTAGAAGAATGAATATGTGCCAAGGCATGTTCCCCAGGCAATTCCTCTGGGCCAAAGGAAATTATTCAGCAAGGATAATCTCTTTTTTAAAATATGGTATCTAAGCAACATTCTGAAGGAAGTGGAGAGTAATAGTTAATGCCCAGTAGCATGTTACTCTCCCAAGGATACTGAAACACAGACTGTGCAGTCTGCCAAGGGGCCAAGGAACCAGAAATTCCACTTTGACACAACCAGGCTGACAGGTTTTCCTCCAGGAGACTCTCTGAAATTAAGATTATTAAAGGCTTAACATTTATTACTCCTCAAGACAACACAAACAAGTTGGCAGATGTTTGTGGGACAATAAAATTTAACATTTACTCATTCTGGACATAAAATTTAACATTTACTTATCATCATTCTGGAGATTTTAAATGCTTCCTTTCCCTGGCTGTGTTCTGAACCCAAACCAGGGACAGGTAAGACTCCTGCTGGCTTTAGCTGCCACTCAGAACTCTGCTCCATGTCTGACCTCTGGGGCTGGCCAGTAGCCACTCAGCCAGTGGCATGAGGTTCAATGTTGTATTTACAGGAGAGACTTTGCCTTAACAAAAGACTTAGTATTTCTATAACTTCAAATTAAAGAAGTATGAAAAGGAAGAATAACCAAAATACAGGTTATAGATGGTAAAGGCTCTTTTCAGAACAGTGCATGAAGGAGCTAGACAAGACGCATTTAGTAACTTTAAAAATAAACATTTTCACAAACTTATCTCAAGAAAGGGTATCAGTTTCATTTTTCATACATTATAAATAGCAAAAACAGATCTCTAAATCCACAATGCTAAGACATGTTAAACGCTATTGTAACTCAGGTGTCTGAAGACCACCCAGTGGTGAAATGATGGTGAGTGGCTCTCACCCCTGTGCAGTGGCCCCTAACCTGTGGGAAGGAGGGAAGCACAAGGTTAAAAAGAAATGTGCCTACTATACATATATATTTACAGTAAACTTCAGTAACCAGAATATTAACAAAAATAGCTTCAAGTAGTTTTTTAAAAAATCTATTTAATACTGATGATCTGAGGAAAAGAAGATAAAAGTTAGATGGATCATATTAAAAACGTTTTTATTTTTTGGCAGCTTTCTGTAACACTCATGCAATGTTGTGTGTCAATGTTTTAAAATAATTGATTAAATGGTCACATTATTTGTGTAAGTCTGTGGTGGGAATCCACCAGCAGATGAATAGGCTCACATGTGGTCTTCAGTTTAATCTATGTAAAGAGAAAAGCCCAAATGGATTAGGATGAAATCCTCATGTTTAGGGGTCACCATGTCTCTGGGAAATTAAAAAAAAAAAAAAAAAAAAAGGAAAAGAATATAATCTTAGGAAACATAAGAATAGTATATGGCTACTGACATTTTAGCCCATGCAATATATTTGGCAGGAACTAAACAGGAGTTAAACCAGCAGTGATTATTATGACATCAAACATCATCAAAAACAAATATGTACTCTCTTCTTCACTGTATAATCAGATGTCTGAGACATACTCTGATGGCTTAATGAAAATGATTACTTTTTACCTTCCCCAGAATATAACATGGAATGTTTTTTCAAAAATCTTAAAATAGAGGGCTTAGGTTTTTGTTTATAAATGCTTGGAAAAAAATTATATTCCACCCTAGCTCCTAACTATCCCAAAATAAACCCAAATGCTTTTGCTTTCATATTTAAGAAAGATTTATGTTTTCCTCAAATATCAGAAAGCAGAGGGTCCCTCAGACCCACAATATCCCCCTACTTCCCCAACACCCACCTTTGGGAAGGGAAAAGAGGGTGGAGAGAGGCAACTACAACTGGCCCAAATCCCCAGGCCCTAGGTGGCTTTGTTTAATAAAATCTCAACTCAAATACAGCAGCCAAGGCACAGCTGGCACCATCCCCAGTAGGCTTCAAAGAGGCCTTTCTGCTTCTGCAGGAAGCCCAGGAAATCAGCGCACAAGGTCTTAGCCACATGCTTAGGCAAGAGGCAGGACCACAATTAGGATGGACTACTGTGGAGGAGGTGATGCGAAGAAGCCCCAAAGATGAGATGTGTTTACCACTCAGTAGCCATGAAGGGAAACGCATCTATTAGTTCAGACCATAAACTCATTATTTCCAAAGAGTGCTAGCTGTTGGGTGGAAGTGCAGTCTGGGTCCACAGTTTTCCTGCGGCCAGGCATGACTGTCCCCTCTGGATTCTCTTTGGTTTTCTGAGGTGTATTTTTCACATTCTTCAATTTTTGTTTGCCCTTTTCAGGGTTGAAAGTTCCTCTGCTGATGAACTGAGGTCTGTCTTCTAGGGACTTCTGGCCCAATGGTCCTTCCATTCCGAGGGCCTCACCAGCTGAGGCAGCTCGGTAGAAAGGAGATTTGGAATAAATCTGAAATCGTTTTCTGGTCCCATGAGATGATGTAGTGTTAGATAGACATAAAGAGGAAACCGTAGAGTCCACTGAATCTAAAGAGTCTTGCTGCTTTTTTAGCTGCTTTCTCAACTTGCTTGAAGGTTCAGACTTGCCAGCTGCCTTCAGAGTGCTAAAGGCTAAACTTCTCCCTAATGCAAAAAAATAGACCAAGGCTATAAATGACAGTTTCCTCTAAAGCAAATCATTATGTCAGATTTGGAGAGTTCAAGCTAACCTACTTTGTGCCATCATAACTCCTGCATATATCATTTCAGAATCAACCTCAAGGAGGTCTAGTGTTTATGTTACCAGGAGAGGCCTGGAACAGTCACTATCATTTAAAAAACTGCCAGAATATGTAGAAAGTTCTAGGTCTCCTTGAGAAATGCCATCCAGTTAAATTATTGCCTTCGATAATAAAGTCCCATCTCACAGTGAGGCACATTTCCCATCACCATCCTTAGAAAATGGGTCATGGCTCAGTATGATATGTGTTTCAATTATTGGCTTTTCCCTGTGGTAAATACAGGAAAAAATGTTAAGTTACCAAAAGACTGCATTTACACTGAAGTGTTGGTCTAGTGAATAATTTATATGGAAGCTTCACAAAGATTAGTGATTCCTTAGGACTTTGTTACCTGTTCATATAGGATCAATGCGTTCTCTTTTTTTTTTGAGACAGAGTCTCACTTTCTTGCCTCTGGTAGTGTGCTGTGGTATCATAGCTCACAGCAACCTCAAACTCTTGGGCTCAAAGCAATTCTCCTGCCTCAGCCTCCAAGTAGCTGGGACTACAGGTGCCCACCACAATGTCCGGCTATTTTTTTTAGAGATGGGGTCTTGCTCTTGGCTCAGGCTGGGCTTGAACACCTGAGCTCAAGTGATCCACCTGCCTCACCCTCCCAGAGTGCTGGGATTATAGGTGTAAGCCACCACACCCAGCTTGGGTCAGTACATTCTAAAAAGAGACTTTGTATTTGCTTGGGAATCCTTATTCCTCCTCTGCAAAACAAATCTTCAGTTTTTGGTCTATCAGCTTCATTTACCTGATTTCTCAGAGATGGCACCTTCAGACTCCAGATTCAAATTTTCTGAGCTATCGGCAGTCCCAATGGAGGCCTCAGACTCAAGAGTTTCATCATCAGAGGCACGGGGTTCCAGTACAAGCATCTCAAATGTTAGCTCCTCCCTATAAGATATAGTCAAGAAATCCATTAGCAATTGACAGGATGTGAAACTAATGTAACAGGAAAAAAAGCTTTCCATGAAAGTCAGGAATCTAAGCAGCAAGGAGAGTCACATTTCTTACTGTTCCAGTCAGCTGGTGGTAAGGACCTGTATGCCAAAGTAATGGTGAAGGCTAAAACTATATGGCCTAAAAGACAAAATGACAAACATCACATCTAGGACCAATAACAGAGCTGAAGGCAGGGTAAAGAAAGATGCTGCAACTGGAAGATCTGGTGAAATGAGCTCTAGACTAATAATTAGGAGATCGGGTTCTGATTCATAATTTCCTTAATGGCACCAGTTAAGTATTTTCCTCTCTCTGGACATCAGCTTCCTCAACCTAAAAACATAAAGGTTACACTAGATAAACTCTAAAATTCCTTCAAGCTCCTCAACTATTTTCTATGAAGCTTTACTAACTGGCTATAGACTATATGCTCCTACCTTGACCACAGGGAAAGCTCTAGCTAAAGCAAAACACTGACTGATCTTTTCCATCCTCCGAAGTGTATGACATCTCCAGTTAGTGTTTTCTATTCTTCATCATGTCACTCATCCCTGCTTCTTGGTCACACCTCTCAATCCCTGAGGATCATTGGTATGTTAGGTGGCTCCTAATTTTCTCTCACTACTGCCTGATGTCACCATCATCTATTTCAATTCATATCTTTGTAAAAACTTATTTCACTACCCTAACACCAAAGTTTCTTCATGTCTGCAACTTTTAACAATCTTTTCCTCCACTTTACCTAAGGACTTTTTTTTTAATGGAGAGTTTTGCTCTGTCACCCTGGCTACAGTGTAGTGGTATTATCATCATAGTTAACCAAAACCTCCAACTCCTGGGCTTAACTGATTCTTCTGCCTCAGCCTCCCAAGAAGCTGGGACTACAAGTGTGCACCACCACACCTGGCTAATTTTTCTCTTTTAATAGACATGAGGTCTTGCTCTTACTCAGGTTGGTTTTAAACTCTTGACCTCAAGTGATCCTCCCAGCTAGGCCTCCCACAGTGCTAGGATTTCAGGTGTGAGTCACTGTGCCCGGCCAATCTAAGCAACTTTCTCTAATGGGTAGATCCTGGAGCTTATCATTACAGGTTTGTATGGAAATATACAAACTCTGAATCCAGTACTCCACTCTGTCCACAGCCTCTTCATCTTTCTAATTCTTACCTTTAAATCAAGTCTCCTCCCTCTCAGAGCTCTCTTAGCTTTGATTCCACTTTACCTAAAGGTTGAGACCCACGGACAATCTTTTCAAGGGTAGTCTCATTAGCAACTCACTGCAACCATCATAACTGTCCTAAGCCCTGCATTCACATCTCTCAGACTTTGCTCATACTTTTTCTTTTTTCTGGAAGAATGTCCCCTTCCTGGAAAATTCCTATTTTACCTTCAGTACTTCCAAAGTTATCTCTATCAAAGCTCAGTTAGGTCCTGTTTTCAGACCACTCTTATAGCAAAGAGTTCACAGTCAAAATATACCAACTTTGCCTCATATTTTTCAAAGTTGAACTCGAGCTGCTTTTTTTAGATTGCCATGATCAATCCTGAGAGACAAAAAGCACTTTAACAGTCTCATATCCCCTCTTTAAATTGAGTTCTCAGAACTGGGATCCTGGAATTCAGGAACAAATTGCTTTAAGACACTTTTTCTAAAAAATTTCAGATTAATGTAAGGATACAAATAATTAGGTTACAACATTTGCATTTGTTAGGTAGAGTCCCTTCTGTAGTCGTGGCCTGTACCCAAAAAGTGTGCCATGCATCTCATTAAGTGGGAGCACACCAATCCCCCTCCCTTCTCCCCATTCGACCCCTTTCCTCCTTTGCTCTCCTCACATCTTGAATTGAGTTTTTCTCTGGTGTGGGCATGTATTAGATCGTCTACTGGCTTCATATTAGCATTGAGATCACTGGATACTTGCTTTTCCATTTTTGTGATACTTTACCAAGAAAAATGTGTTTCAACTCCATCCAGATTAAGTCTCCAACTCTTTTATAGCTGAATAGTATTCCATGGTATACATATACCACAGTTTGTTAACCCATTCTTGGGTTGATAGCATTTAGGTTGTTTCTACATCTTGGCAATTATAAATTGAGCTGTGATAAATAATCCAGTGCAAATATCCTTATGATAAAATGATTTTTTTTTCTTCTGGTTAGATGGCTAGTAATAGGATTGCGGGATCAAATGGAAGGTCTATTTTGAGTTCTTTCCAAAGAGGTTGTATTAGTCTGCAGTCCCACCAACAGTGTAAAAGCGTTCCCCTTCTCTCCACACCCATGCCAGCAGTCGCACCTTTGGGAATTTGTGGTGTGGGCTATACTCACTGGGGCTAGGTGATATCTCAAAATGATTTTGATTTGCATTTCTTTGATTAGGAACAATGAGCATTTTTTCATATGTTTGTTAGCCATTTGTCTGTTTTCCTTAGAGAAGGTTCTGTTCCTTTCTCTTGCCCCACTGAGGGACTGTGTTCTTTTTTTGTTGAGTAATTTGAGGTCTCTGTAGATTCCATTTATCAACCCTTTGTCAGATTCATAACATGCAAATATCTTTTCCCATTCTAAACACTGTCTATTTGCTTTGTGTCTTTAGTTGTGCAGAAGCTTTTTAGCTTAATTAAGTCTCATTTGTCTATTTTTGTTATTGTTGGGATTGCCACTGAAGTCTTCTTCACAAAATCTTTCTGCAGGCTGATATCCTTAAGAGTTTTTCCCACATTTTCTTCTTGGATTTTTATTGTTTCATGTCTTAGATTCAAATCCTTCATCCAGCTTGAGTCAGTTTTTGTAAGTGGTGAAAGATATGGATCCAATTTCAATCTTTTACGTGTAATTATTCAGTTTTCCCAGCACCACTTATTGAATAGGGATTCTTTCCCCCAGTTTAGGCTTTTTTGGGTTTAACAAAGATCAGATGGTGGTAAGAGACCAGTTTCACCTCTTAGTTTTCTATTCTGTTCTGTATTTTTTTTTTCAGTTTTTATAGTTTTATTTAAACACAAATAGAATGTGCGCATGAGCTGTCTATTCATTTTTTTAGCTGTGCAGCCTGGCATTGGGATTGGTAACTCTGATGGCCAGCTAGGCTGCTGTTTCTACAATGGCTTTGCAGTTCTTGGAGGAAATGTTGTGAGCAATCTCTGCACAGTAAGATTTGCTGTACAACAGCAGCACTTCAAGCTTGTTGGCACTGTGGATGAGGAACTTCCAGAAACCCCTGGGCAGCATATGCTTTGTTTTCTGTTGCTCCCATAACCAAAGTTGGGCATCAAGTCTGACCCTTGAATCTTCTCCAAACCCTGTTGTCAGTACCTCTGGGTTTCCGTCAGTTATGCTTAATTTTGACATATTCATCTGACTGGTGCCAGGTAAACCTCTTGGTCCTCTTTTTGACAATCTTCAGCTTCACAAGGGGTCTGAGGGTGGCCATGATGCTGAATAGGAGATGGCTGCCACCTCCAAAGGTAGCGCCGAGGAACAGAGCAAAAGGTGGCATATAAAGGCTCCCGTATGTATATTTTTATGCCAATACCATGCTGTTTTGATCACCGCGGACTTATAATATAACCTAAAGTCTGGGAGAGTGATACTTCTGGCTTTGCTTTTATTACTAAAAATTGTCTTAGTATTTTCTGGTTCCATACAAAACAAAGAACTATTTTTTCCAACTCTTCAAAGTATGATATTGGTATTTTAATAGGAATTGCATTAAATCTATAGATTGCTTTGGGTAGTGTAGACATTTTAACAATGTTGATTCTTCCCCGCCAAGAGTATGTATGTTTTTCCATTTGTTAATGTCTTCTGCTTTCCTTAAGACTCCTAAAGACTACTCACCATAACTAGTATATAGTACCTTCAAGGAAAACCATGGGATGTCATATTATGCCCAAGGTGTAGTGTCACCGACTCTTCCTGCAGTGATGATAAAGGTTAAGAGCTTTTCTTCCTATATTGCAACCAATTTCCCTACCCAATATCCCAGCACCCACTAGAGTTGCTACCTTACCCTGATCTTCTAGTTGTTGGTCTCATGGCCATACTGATCCCTAGATTAATAATCTTCCATCATGATGTGTGAATAATGCCCATTCTCAGGAGGAATTTTGTCTTACCTTAAAAATTCTTATTCTTCTTTGCAAAACAAATCTGTTTATGGAGGCTGGTCTGTGACCTGTCAGGACTCTAGTACCTTATCACAGCTCTCCATTATCACTACCAGATGAATCTCAACTGGCAAGAATGGCATCCCCTGTGGATATTGTGTCTTCATCCTTGTAAGCCTCTCCAGACCATTACTGTAGCAGCATCAAGTGTCCCAGCTCATGGAACTTTCTTCCCTGAGATGACAACTTTCATGCTATTACCTGAATACAGGCAACATGGCTGTGTCATCTCTACATCTCCCAAATCACCTAACACAGGATTTGACACATGGGAAATATTTTACAATTAAGGGAAAATAAAAAAGTAGTAGAAAGGAGGAGATGAAAACACATAATAACTGCCCCCCCCTTCCTCCTGGATACTTACTTCTCTTTCTGTAGGTTCTCAATCTGCTCGGTCAGTACTCTCTCCTCCTGCTGCATAGCTGTTTGTTGTTGTTCTGTAATGTCAGTCTCCACAGCTGCCTCACTAGTCAAGGTCTCTTCTGGGACATCAGACATGGAAGGCAACCGAACTACAACCGGAGAGGATGGACTTGGATAGTTTCCTCGACGAATACGCCCCTTTCCCTGCAGAGAAAAATTCATGTTAGAAGGTAAGCTGAGCAAATGCATCAGTTTTACGTTGTCCATTTAGGATAACAAGTGTACTTCCATCACACCAGGTGAATGGTAAGAAGAAATGGAAACATTTGCGAGGCCTAGGATATTTAGTGAGACATCATTCATCCAATACATTTAGGTAAAGCTACTTCCTGTAAGACCACTGGAAAATGAACACTTCAGTAAGTGGGAGTTTAACAATCTAGTGTGTACTAAGTAGTTGTTTATATATTGTAGGGTGCTAGTGAGATATATTTTCTCAAGAAACTTTTCTTCTTGAGATGAGGGTAGTTAAAAAAATCTTTCTCTGTCGGTCTCTCTCTTTTTTAAGATTATCTCTCCTGCTGAGAACTAGACTGAATACAAAAAATCAACATGTTTCAAGGTCCCAGAGAGCTAACAAAGTAAACCAAGGACAGGGCAGCACAGCATTTAGTGCTAATCTAAATTTCAGAAGAGGTGGCTGGAGACTATGCCAGGGGTTGGCAAACTATGGCCTGGGGGCCAAATCAAGCCTTGTGCATATTTTCGTAAATATAGCTTTTTTGGAATATATTCATTCTCATTAATTTATTCATTGTTTATGACTGTTGCAGAATAATGGCAGGGTTTATTATTGAGACAAAGATTGGTCCACAAAATCTAAAATATTTACTCTCTGGTCTTTACAGAAAAAGTCTGACAACTCCCAGGGTAGAAAATAAAAGTTGGAGTCTGGATCCATTCAAGGGTGTGGTTTGCTGCCTAGTAAAACCTCCATGCCTGATATTAGGATCCCCAAGATTTGTGTCCTAGAAATAAAGATAAACTGAAATTGTAACAGTCCTTGCAGACACTACAGCCTACTGACCAGACACATGATTGGTCCAGAAAATTATAATCCCTAAAACTGGATTAAAGTAATCCCAGATTGCTAGTGCTTTAGGACCTGGCAGAAAAAAAATGTAAATATTCTTTAGAGGAAAGGAATGTTATTCTAGACCTTGAAATATTTTCATAAATAATTTTTCAAATACTATTATCAGACACACAATCAAAGGTAACCAGGCACAAAAGGAGACAAGACAATGTAAATGAAAACTAGTAAAAACAACAGAAAACACAAACCCTCAATGACTCCACATAGAGTGTCTATCAGACAGACTTAAAATAACCACTCTGAAGGAGTCAAAAGAAAAATTCAGACTCAAGTAGGAAGAAACAAACAAAAACGGAAGAAAAATTCTAAGGTAAGACAGGACATCACAGAGGTCTATAATTAATGTTAAAATGGAATACCAGGAGAGGAGACATATCCTGCAGAAGAAATATTGAAGATAATGGCAGAGCGTTTTTTAAAAGCAACTAAAGACATTAACCTACTGATTTTATTTTATTATTTTATTTTTGAGACAGAGTCTTACTTTGTTACCCTTGGTAGAGTGCCATGGCATCACAGCTCACAGCAACCTCAAACTCTTGGGCTTAAGTGATTCTCCTGCCTTAGCCTCCCAAGTAGTTAGAACTACAGGCATCTGTCACAATGCCTGGCTATTTTTAGAGACGAGGGTCTTGCTCTGGTTCAGGCTGGTCTCGAACTCATGAGCTCAGGCAACCCACCTGGCTTAGCCTCCCAGAGTGCTTGGATTACAGGCTAACCCACAAATTTTAAAAAGCCTATAACCCTTAAGAAAGATAAATAAAAAGAAGTTTATACCTAAATATACAAATGCTAAAAACCAAAGCCAAGAGAAGATTTTAAAAGCAGAAAAAAATTACCTACAAAAAGGAAGTAATAATTAGATTCAAAGTTTATTTCTCAACAGAAATTATGAAAGGCAGAAAACAATGGAATGCTAGCTATTTTCAAGGTGATAAAAGGAAAAAGTAACTGCCAACTTATGATTTTATATATAGCCAAAATCACTTTAGAAATGATGAGGAAATAAAGACATTCTAGATGAACTAAGAAGAGAATCTGACAGCAGCAGATCTGCATGGAAGGAAACGTTATACTAAAGGGCAGATAGAAAAATGATCCCAAAAGAAAAGTTGGAGATGCAGAAAAAAAAAAAAAGCAACGAAACAGTATATATGTAAATTAAGTTTAAATACCGACCACATAAAACATAATACAACATAAATAATAATGGTATATTGGATTTAAAATATACAGATAATTTAAATACATCACCACAACAGAAACTAAGTTGTATCATAGCTATAGCATATTAAAGTATCTGCATTATCAGAGAAAAAGATAAAAGTATTAACAGACTTTGATAGGTCATAGGTCTATGTTGTCATCTTTATGTTAAACTACTGAAAGAAGAGTAAAAAAAGTATAAAATTTCTAAACTAATGGAAGAAAAAAGTGAAATAATAAAAGTAATCAAAAGAGAAAAAGGAAGAAAGAACAAAAAACCAAGAAAGAAAAGAAAACAGAACATCTGTCAGGTGAGACAAATTAAAAAGTACACAATGGGCTAGGCGCCTGTGGCTCAAGTGGCTAAGATGCCAGCCACGTACACCTAAGGTGGTGGGTTCAAATCCAGCCTGAGGCCGCTGAAACAATGATGGCTGCAACCAAAAAATGGCCGGGCGTTGTGGCGGGCACCTGTGGTCCCAGCTACTTGGGAGGCTTAGGCAGGAGACTCGCTTGAGCCCAGGAGTTGGAGGTTGCTGTGAGCTGTGATGCCACAGCACTCTACCCAGGTGGACAGCTTGAGGCTCTGTCTTAAGAAAAAAAAAAAAAACCAAACAAACAAAATAAAACCACACAATGAAATAGATTTTAAATGTAAATATACTGGTGATTATGTTAAATGTCAATAAATTCAATGTTTTATTGAAATATAAAGATTTTCAGACTGTACACAAAAAAAGAAACTCTACTACATGATGTTTTCAAGGTATATATATTAAACATGAAAATTCAGAAAAGGCTGAAGGTAAAAAAAAGACATGCCATGCAAATACTTATCAAAAGAAGGCTGGTATATAAGCGATAGTAAAAGTTAACTGAAAAACAGGGGTATCTCACAATGATAAAAGTTCAAATCATGAAGAAGATATAACATTTCCAAATTTGAAGAAACATCTTCAGAAAATTTTTAAGTAAGATAACTGATAGAAATATTCAAACAGACGAAGTGATGATTAGCACCAAGAGAAAAAGTGGATACATGCAATCAGTAAAGATAAAGAACTAAACAATTTGAATCATATAAGTGATCTAATAAGACACGCATAGACTTCAGTATTTAACAGCTACAGGAGGCTCATTATTCTAAAGCACATACAGCAAGACAACAGATTTCCAAAGGTTGAAATAATTCATCTGACCATTAAAGTAATTTTAAACCAAGTTTCTGATAGTGCAATTATAAAGAGAAAATTTCAAATTTCCATATATTCAGAAATTAAGAATAGACCTTTAAAAAAAACCATGGTTAAAGAAGAAATCTCAATGGAAATTAGAAAATATTTTGAATTAAACAATAATATAAAAGCCTCTGTAAACTCTGTCTACCATAAAGGTATAGTCTTAGTATACATTAGAAAAGAAGGTTAAAAATCAAAGCGGTAAGAATCTATTTTAGGAAACTATATTTATAAAAAAAAAAAAAAGCTCCCAAAATAAAAAAAAGGAAATAAACATTACTGGAAAAGAGGATCAAAGTCAAAATGTAGCTCTTTGAAAGGACTAATACAAATTTTAAAGCCCCAACAAGAATGATGAAGGCAGGCTCGGCGCCTATAGCTCAGCCGGCTAGGGCGTCAGCCACGTACACCTAGGGTGGCGGGTTCGAGTCCCCAGCCCGGACCCGCCAAAACAACAATGACGGCTGCAACAAAAAGGATGGCTGGGCGTTGTGGCGGGCGCCTGTGGTCCCAGCTACTTGGGAGGCGGAGGCAGGAGACTCGCTTGAGCCCAGGAGTTGGAGATTGCTGTGAGCTGTGATGCCACGGCACTCTGCCCAGGGGGACAGCTTGAGGCTCTGTCTCAAAAAAAAAAAAAAAAAAAAAGAATGATGAAGGCAAAAAGAGAGAAGTCACAAACAAGCAAAGGCAGGAATAATAAAAGGGATATCACTACAAATCTTGTAGACATGGAAAAGGTAAGAAGCTAGTACCAACATCTTTATGTCAATAAACTTGAAATATTAGACAATGGAGACGTTTCTATAAAAATCCAACTGGCTGGGCACAGTGACCCACACCTGTAATCTCAGCACTCTGGGAGGCCAAGGTGGTGGATCGCCTGAGTTCAGGAGTTGGAGACCAGCCTGAGCAAATAGAAAAACCTCTAGAAAACAGCTGGGTGCTCTGGCAGGCGCCTGTAGTTCCAGCTACTCAGGAGGTGTAGGCAAGAAGAGCATCTGAGCCCAAGAGGTTGAGAATGCTATGAACCATGATGCCACGGCACTCTACCCAGGGCAGCAGACTGGAACTTTGTCTCCAAAAAACAAACAAAAAAGCCTCCAATTTATACTGTCAATGAATAAATTAAAAATGTGAATGACATTAAAGAAATTGAATCCATAATCACAACCTTTCCAAAATGGAAACCCTAGACCTAAATTTCACTGGCTAACAAGAAGTAACACACAAATTCTTCTACTGAATGATGAAAATAAGGACTATTTTCCAACTTTCTTTAGAGGCCAGCATAATTTTGATACTGAAACATAACAAGTACATTAAAAAGAAGGACTGTTATAGGTCAATTTTGTTTATAAACACAGGTATACAAATCCTACACATACCATAAACTGAACCAAGCAATATATAAAATATATAACAAAAATAAATAAAAGTAAAGAGTTGAATATAATGATAGTTTAACATTAAAAATCCACTAAGTATAATGAGTCATATCAATAAAACAAAAAAGTCTCATGAACACAGTAATACGTGCAGTAAAGGCATCCCATAAAATTTTTAACATTGCATCACGATAACAGCTCTTAGAAAACTTGGAATAAAAGAGAACATGTTTAATGTCATAGAATATCTCCAATCATTCTATAGGAAACATCATATTTAGTGGTAAAAGGTTGAAAGTTTTTCCTTTGGGATTAGGAACATGCCAAAAATGATCAGTTGTGCCACTTCCATTCAACACAGTACTGGAGGGTCTAGCTCACACAAGAAAAAGAAAATAAAAGGTATAAAGACTCTAAAAGAACAAATGAAACTATCGTTATTCATGAGGTATGACTGTATTAGCAGGAAATACAAAGGAAGCCACACAAAATTTACTAGAATGAGTTCAGCAAAGCCTCTGAATGCAAGGGGAAAAATATCAAAATCAACTGTATTTTTATAAAATAAGAAATTATTGGAAAATGAAAATTTTAAGATAATTATAACTGCATTTGAATTCATTAAATACCAAGTAGTAACTCAAACTAAAGATGATGAAGATATCAAAATCAAAACTACAAAAGTACTTTTGAGAAGAACCAATAATCTACATGAATGGAGAGATCAGCAATCTGTAGATTCAATACAATCTCAATCAAAATCCCAAGAGAACGTTTGAAAACTGATTCTATAATTTATATGGCAATATAAAGAGCCAAGAACAGTTAAAACACTATTGAAGAAGGTAGGATGACTTGTCCTACCAGATATTTTTAAGAAAGCTATAGTAATTAAAATAGTGACGGTGGTGGCAAAAAAAGATAGTCAAAATAGAATATTCAGAAAAAGACTCATACATAAAAAGGCTCTTGATTTATAACAGGGTAACTGGAGGGAATCATGAAAAGATTTTTTAGTTTAGTTTTGTGTTTTATAGAGATGGTGTCTCACTATATTGCCCACACTGGTCTCAAATTTCTGGCGTCAAGTGTTCCTCCCACCTTAACCTCCCAAAATGTTGGGATTACAGGTGTCAGCCACTGTGCCCAGACGAAAAAGTTGCTTTTTAATGTCTTTTTTTTCCATAGTGACAGGTCTTACTCTGTCAGCCAGATAGGTGCAAATATAGTTCAGTGTAAACTTTAACTCCAGGGCTCAAGCGACCTCCTGCTTCATCGTCCCAAGTAACTAGAACTATAGGTATATACTACCACACTCAGCTAATTGTTCTAACTTTTTGTAGGGGTAACGTCTGACTATGTTGCCCAGGCTGGCCTTAAACTCCTGGCCTCAAACTGGTACTTTCAAATGAATTAAGGTAATGGTACCAAATTATAGTATTTAGTAATCATCATATTCTTTGCCATCATGCATTCATAGCTTTTAAAAAGTCGGTTTTGGGCCAGGTGTGGTGGCTCAAGTAATCCTAACACTCTGGGAAGCCAAGGCAGGTAGATTGCTTGAGCTCAGAAGTTTGAGACCAACCTGAATAAGACTGAGACCTTGTCCCTACTAAAAACAATAGAAAAACTAGCCCAGCATCACAGCAGGTGCCCATTGTCCCAGTTACTTGGGAGGCTAAGGCAAGGGGATTGCTTGAGTCCAAGAGTTTGATTCTATCTCAAAAAAATAAAAAAAAAGTAGTAAACATTTTTTAAAAATTAAAATAAAACAAATAAAAAAGTTTCATTTCATGTCATTGAACAAGTAGTATAAATTTAAGGTTACTAATTCTTTTTTTTTTTTTTTTTTTGGAGACAGAGCCTCAAGCTGTCCCCCTGGGTAGAGTGCCGTGGCATTACAGCTCACAGCAACCTCCAACTCCTGGGCTCAAGCGAGTCTCCTGCCTCCGCCTCCCAAGTAGCTGGGACCACAGGCGCCCGCCACAACGCCCGGCTATTTTTTGGTTGCAGCCGTCATTGTTGTTTGGCGGGTCCAGGCTGGGGATTCGAACCCGCCACCTTAGGTGTACGTGGCTGGCGCCTTAGCCGGTTGAGCTATAGGCGCCGAGCCAGGTTACTAATTCTTAACCACTGAATTCACTATTTTTTATTTTCGGTATGATGAGATGGAAGTACACACAGAGCGTCTCTGCTACATGCTGTTATCTCCAGGGAGATTAATCTGTGCAGTTTGAATTGGAAGCTAAATCAGCTACTTGATTCATAACATAGTATTTACAATAAGTGACAAAGTATGATTATTCAGTCTTGGATATGTGGTACACATTTTCTTTGAAATTATATGAAGGGAACATGTTATTTTGAGTGAAACAAATGACTATATTTGTTGTCAGTGAAGAAATGGAGACTTCAAACAAATATTAGAATTTTGGGAAACTTTTATCTGCCCTGTAAGTTTGATAGCTTCCCACATGGTGTGAATGCCAATAGTAAGAGTCTAATCAGAAGATATAACCAAATCTTGTAAGGGAATATCAATGACTACAGAAAGAGATAGGACTGAGCTCATTTTCAGTGTAAACTGGAGCTGTGACTCCTTTTCACTTGGCTTGCTGACACTGAGCCAGAACAGTAGCAATGAACAACCAAGAAAGAACAATGCTAAATCAACACTGGGCTATCATGCAGAATTCCACCTCCCCTATCACTTCTCTCAGTCTCAACATCTCAACACCACGGGGAGAAAAAGTCAAGAAAGAGGGAGGGCAGAATTATGTGACAAACAGAAATTACCCACCCCAAAGTTTTAAGCCCCAGATTAAGGTCTAGTCTGTCCTGGTAGGAAAGACTGGATTAAAACCATGAAGCTGTAATGTGAAGCTAACTGAGTCTTGAATCCTGGAATGAGACTGAAATATTCAAAAATTACGGACAGGATCTAGTAAGGAAGGAAAGTTTAACATTATAGAGAAAAGAGGCAGTGACAGACAAAAAGCAAAACTGATCTGTATTTATACCCAAATTCATTAAGGCTCCTTAATGAAATAGTTACACACAGATGTGCAGTCTCTGAAATTAGTTTTCAAGCAGACTGACGTTCTTAGCCTTTTATCCCTCTATTCCTTTTTTGTATAATCGATGGAACTGAAGAGGGGCACCAGCAATGAGATCCTGGGACAGGATTATACTACGACATTTAAGTCTAGAACCAGTCTGTCAATTTGTTCACTCCTATTTGTAGCTCTGTGTGATAAATGCTAAGTAGACAAGAACTATCTTTCTATACTTGGGAGGATACCATCAGAGTCACAGGTATGAATGGACAAATAAGCCTTACTAATTATGGTAGATGCTGAAAGTGGTAATAGGTCTTTTAAATAATAAAGTGGAGGAGATTGCTGAGAATGCAGTTCATGGAACAGAAATTAAGTTGATACCTCAGTACTTCCCTCCCAACTTTCACCTTTTAATGACTTAATCAAAGAAGAAACTCAAAAAGCAAAGAAGAAAAACTAGTGTATTTTAAATGGACGGCATGATACAGAGGAAGGAGGGAAACTTCAGGATCTAAAGAAAGAGATTAAGAGTAAAGCAAGTGAAAGCTCGTCAAAAAGTAGGACCTGCACTGGGGCTGAACATGAGGGTGGACAGGCATGAATGGTAGACAGCAGAACAATGCCTGGATGAACGAGAGACATTAATGTAGAGTGGCTTGACACATCGCATTATTAATACATACCGAGACTGAACTGCGGGTAATGCTCATGAATCTAACTGCAATTAGTACAGGTTTCTGGATTAGGAAGGACATGAAAAGGAAAGCAGAGGTTAGAATGCACATGCCATTGCCCCATTAAAAGAGAAGGTTTAACCTTTCAATGGACTGAATATATCCATCTTCTGCAGCATCAGCAGAAAGCACAGCTTGTCTCCTTGCTTTGAAAGGTAGGTTTCAGCAAAAGGCTCTTCCCTTCCTCCCTGGATGGGCGCTACTAAACTGGGCCTTTCAGGATTGAGCTCCTGAAAATTTACACTGCAGAAAACTTTCTCTTTTAAATGGGATTTCTGTTTTCAATTCCTGGGGAAAAGATTTAGATTGTGTTGTATGATGAGCTTTATTTAATACCTACTGCCTGGTATGCTTACATTTGCCTTTAGAGAAGTCAGAGAAGACCCTTCACTGTCTTAATCAGCAGACCTTTGTTGAGCACTTACTCTGCATCAGGCAGTTTAAATAGTAAAGGAAGAAACAGTTATTTTAATGCTAACCTGAGTATAAACTATGAAGATGAGGAGGAAGTATTGCTGGGCCCCCAGAATAGTACAGCTGTGATGATGCAGAAGGCCTGCTTCCTTTTGGAGGGTTACTGGGGATCTGACATAGGTGCTGATTGCTACGATTTTATTTTACAACTGAGAGGAAGGATAGTAAAGCGGGCAATCATTAAGCTTTAATGCAGCAGTAGTTTTCTAGCTGACCTAACTCTATTAAGAACTGCAGTTATCTATACTTGGTTGCAAAGGAAGATATTAAATAGAAAAGTGAGCAAATGGAGGAAATAAATTATCATTTTTACAAGGCTTGTCTCAAAACCTAACACTAAATCCTTCAAGAAATCTTTATTTGATAACAGTAGACTCACAGATGGAATTCCATTCCCTTAAAAATCATATAATTCAGTTCAAATTCAGCTGCAAATGGTTAAGTTCTCTACACCCCAGGAGTCACGGCAGGACTACCAAAAATGACATTGGTTGAAGGTGGGAACAGAGGGTGAAAGGAAGTAGAGAAAAAAATTAGGGTAGTATTAAGTTTTCATAGAAAGAACACAAAAAGAAAACAGGGCAGATTATTAAGCACCAATACCTGATTTAAAAAATTCTATACATTTAATCACATATTCTGTATACATAAACAGGACTAGCAGGTTAAACATGAGGCATTCACAAAATTGGTGAATTTTTTTTTTTATTTGTTCCTTGTGAAAAAGATTCTGAGATTAACCCTTCTTTAAACTACAGATGTACAATTAGAATCCCAAGAAGGCTCCCATTTTCCCCTGTGATTCCATATCTTTTATCTTACCATTGATCTACGAATCAGTGACAGTCTGGTCTTTGCCTTATTCTCAGCAAACTCCAGGCTACTGATGTCTTTTAGACGAGCCTTATATTTATTCATTTGTTCCACAACAATCAGCTCCACACAACTAAAATGGGAAGAGAGAGAGAAAACAGTTAAGAGCTGAAGTAAATCAAATCAAGTACAGCACCCACAGACTGTTTGTCAGCTAAGTATGATAGACAGGTGAAGGAAAAAAATCAACATCCCTTACTTTATGAACTCACAGACAAGGTTTAGAATGGTGGCTCACAACTTTGGCTGCCCTTTAGAAGCCATATGAAGAGGGGATACAAATCCCAATGCCCAGGCTATCCTCTAGCCCGATTAAATTGGATTCTCTGGGGATGGCATCCAAATACTGATTTTTTTTTTAAGTTCCTTTTGCAGTCAAAATTAAAAAGGAAAACAGAAGAAACCACCTTAGATGGAAAGCAGAGGCTCAAGACAAAAGGCCAAGGTAAAATATGGAAATATTGAGATATTAAGACTAAAGGGATTCAGAGCTGTAACACCACTGTTAAACTAGATTACAGGATGACACAAAGTTTACATAATTTGGAAAACTGATTTTTAAAATGTACTTAGAAACTATAAGCAGTCCTAAAGAAAAGCCAGATTTAAAAAAAAGACGACCCTTTACAACTAATGATGTTCAGCTGAATTGAATCTAACACTTTTTGTATCCTCAGCATAAGAAAACCCAATGGAGTCCAACAATCTTCTGAAAAACATCTTAACTTATAAGATCATTCACTGTGTAGTATCTGAATAAAAGGACTAAAACAACTCAGAAGTCCCTGAGATCTTGCAGAGATGATGGCAAATGGCCTTACGTGGTTGTCTTACTGATGTCCTGCACACTTTGTAGTGGGTCAATGGTGTCTGGGCAGCGGAGAATGCAGGGTGCAAACACAATGGCCAAAGCATTAGCAGACATTCGATTAGTATCTTCCTGTAATGCAATCCTAAGGAACAAATAAAGCAAAAAATAAATAAAAAAGGGAATTAAAAAGGGAAAAGAGTAGGGAGGCAGGGGGAAGAGATGAGTGAAAGACAACGTGACATCAACTGCCCAGCACTGCAAAGATATCCACATCAGTTTAAGAGGAGACAGACACTGCAGACTTCCCAAAGCTGTTGCTTTGCCTCTGGATGTGCACGTTCACTTTGTTCTTTCCCTGAAGCAGCCTAGATCAGCAGATAGTTTACCAAGGGAAATTTGTGATTTACTGCTCAAGGCCAATATCATTAGATAAACATGTCTAGAGAATGCAGAGTAGAGGCTTTGAGGCATTTGAGAGAGTTATATATCAAATTCAAACACTCCAGATCCCCAAGTGTGGCCCGTTGACCCAATCCAAACTTCACACAACAAATCTCTTTATTAAAAGGATTTGCTTTGCAAAATTTGGATTCAGTCAAAAGGCCTTGCTCAAGGATCCAGAAGTCCACATGTGGCCCTAAGGCTGCAGCTTTCCCACCCCTGTGTGCCACAGTGAGGCTGAAATAAGGGCAGAGAAACCCCTGCCACGTAGTCTAGTTCAACTGAAGATTTATGCTCCAAGGAATCCTAACCACCTATGAAGATGCTGACTTCATAACTAGAAGAAAAATACAAATACATGTCAGTTTCCCAAAAAGTGATGCTCTTTATTTATTTAAACATTCCCTTGCTTCCTGAAGTTACCTGACTAGATGAAAGATGAGGCGTTCCAGTGTATTGAGATGAGTTCGGGAGAGCTGGTCAATCACAGAGTATACACCATGGATTGTCTCCTTCCTCTCCTGAAGGCCTAAAAACAGCAGGGGTAGCAAATAAAACTGAATATCACTTCTTACAAGCTACATCTTTTTCTTGGACAGACACTATACAGCAGGGAAGGCTAGCTCAGTGTTTTAGAGCTTTAGTGGAGACACTCATACCTTTATGGCAGGAGAAGAGTAATTCATGGTTACCACCTAACTTGCTTTGCTTGAGTTCTGTATTCATAAGCAGTCTCCTGAGTTTTAATGTACATCTCAGTAATCCTTTATTACAGCAAGGGACAGAGATGCTCTAGTTTTTCAACCATTGTGTGGCAGACTGATTTCCAGTAAATGAAAATGGAACCAATTTGTCACATAATTTATAAATCTTCAGGGTTAAATACTTCTAGGCAGGGCTTCATCAATATTCTACAAACCTATAACACTGAGAAATTTAACTCCAAAACTTGTTAGACCTAGCGTAAAACAAACAGCTTACATATAGTTCTTGATTAGAGCCACAATTTAATATGAACATAAGCCTATTTTTAAACCTCCTATTTAATCTTTTCATCTGTTTTATAACCCTAATCTTTTAATCTCTCTTTGAGAGCTAACACAATGGTTTACTCAGAAAACTTTTAAGATACTGACATTTTAATGAGTCTTTAGAAAGTTAACATTTAAATAGGTGACAGTACACTGGGAGCTTTGTATTGACTGTTAAAAGCTTACACTTGGATCTGTAGGACTAACTAAACCATTAGAGCAGTGGTTCTCAACCTTCCTAATGCAGAGGCCCTTTAATACAGTTCCTGTGGGTCGTGACCCACAGGTTGAGAACCACTGCATTAGAAGATGGCTTAATAATCTCTACTGAAGATGGCATTTCTTTCTGAGGTATAGGCCTTCCCCCTAAGCCAGGAAGCCTGTGCTTACCCATAGCTCGAAGAAATTCCTCATAGAGTTCAAAGGTCATGAGTGGATTAGGCAAATCTCGAAGCCACTGCTTGAATACACTTGCAATGACATGTATGTTATAGTCATCTAGATTTACACTCTCAGCATCTATTTAGAGACAAAAGTAGATGGCAAAGCCAAAACATTCAAATTATTCAAATAACTTACTTTAGAAACTAAAGAATTACTAAAAGAAGCATTCATGTTTCTTAATCAAACTGACTAACTTCTATCTTCCACAATCTAATTCCATGCTTTGGAACAATGCTTCTAACTGTGGTGAAAGAACAGTTCTTGTCTTTTCCAAATCTGTTGTTGACAGAAATGTATAAAACATCACCTATTTTGATATGGAAACATTATACAACATAGATGTCTATAAATGCTCACTCTCAATTTCTGTACTTATCCTGTTATGGATTTGTCTATAGACCACAATTTGAGAAGCAATGTTTTAAAAGACAAACAGAAAAAAGAATAGAGGACTTTTTTTTTTTTTTTGAGGCAGTCTCACTCTATTTGCCCAGGCTAGCGTGCCATGGCATCAGCCTAACTCATAGCAACCTAAAACTCCTAGACTGAGATGATCCTTCTGCCACAGCCTCCTGAGTAGCTGGGACTATAGGCACCCCAGCAATGCCCAGCTAATTTTTCTATTTTTAGTAGAGATGGGATCTTTTGGCTCCATGTAAACATTTGACGGAATGCCTATTTAAAAGTATTTGGCCATGATTTGGAGGAACTATCTTACCTGTATCTAGACCTTGTCGAAGCTCCTTGATTTTATTAGTTGAACCAGACTTCCGGTAAATGCCTTCTGTGTACAATCCATGCATTTCGATGTAGTTTATGAGCTTTTCCACCACTAAAGGAACAGTTCGTTCTTCACTGGTCAAACGAGACAGTTCGACCCCAAACTGTCGAGAGGACAGCTCTGGATCATACTAAATAGAAGATAATTTTTGGTTTTTGAATGCATTTAAACATCTTTATAAATGTTTAAACAATTTTTGAAGAGAAACTACTTTTTGTTTTCTTAAAGTTTTGTAAGCACAGTTGCAAGAGTTGGAGAAAGGGAATTATAATTAAATAAGTATAAATAAGTAAGGTATTAGTTCCAATCATCTCCTACTGGGAAACCCCCAAAGAAAATAACGGAGTGGAGGATGAAAGCAGTGGCAAAAGGCTACTACTAAACATGTCCTTTCCTGTCAAAAATCTCCTCACGCAAAGGCGGGATTTGGGTATGGGAAAAGGGATTGGATTTTGTATGCAAACAGACTGAACATTTACCACCACAAAAACTACTTATTTGATAATGATGATTATCAATAATTTCTGAAGTATAAGAATAGTTTGGTTTTTATGTAAGTTTTATAGAACTTTAACTTTCATAACTCAAGGGAGAGGCACATACATATTAGTCCATGATTAGTGTTACAGCTCTTTTAAAATTGACTTTAGTACAACTGATATCATCCTTTATTAACTATAGCTTACGTGGTTGCAATAGAATAGCTCATTCTTAAGATTATTTGAAGCAATTCACAGAAAAGAAAAATGTCGTGTATTATTCCTGAGACTGAAAACTGTTAAGTAAATATTTCTCTATCTTTTTCCTGTCTTGCACCATTCTCCTCTCCTACCAAAAAATTGTACACCCTACTTTCTCCTTTAACCTGCATTCAACCACAATTGCCAAGTTCTTTTAGTCAATCAGTATACCCTGTTTTTCTTTTTGGTCCTCAGTGTCATGACCGTAGTTCAAGTCTATTATCACTCTCTAATTGGACTATTCTAACAGGTTCTTGACCAGTTCTCCACATCCATTTTCTCCTCTTTAAAAATATATTATAGTGTATATAATCTACTTTATTATAACCTTCAAAAAGCTTCAGTGGCTAATGAGTACACACCAAAATAAAGTGCAAATATTCGTGAGCCTGACATTCAAGATCCTACTTAAACTAATCCTAATTTCTCTTTATAGTTTTATGTTAAGATATCTGTCATTTACGTGCTGGGTGCCAGGGAAAAAAAATCAAGTAAGAGCCAGACTTTCTTCTAAAACTAATAGTGTTAGTGTGTGGAGGTAAGTAAAATAATAAATGAGATTTATTATGCATTAAGAAACTACAGAATAGAGGCAGCTAGATCAGGAAAGATTAGGCTGGGTAATAAGTAACTAATGATCTTGAAAAGACCTGATGTTTAACCTTAGTGTTGGAAAACAAGTAGTACATAAGTAAAGAAGGCAAGAAGACCTTTTAGGTATAGGAAATAGAACTACTAAGTTGGGTAAAGCAAAGGAGATAAAGGAAGCCATCAGAGAAATTTAAATAAGGAAAGATACAATCACTTTATTAGTTTGCATCAATATTATGAGCATTATTTTGAGTTATTCATTTATATACTCTGCATTCTATCACTTAATTCTTAGAGAATTAATTTCACATCTACTCTGAAGCATATCATCTTAAATTAATATCAGACAACATCTCTGAAAAGTATTTCTAAGTCTGATGCATTTGGAATATTTAGAGGACAAATCAAAATTTTTGTATTGTCACTAGGTGAACTTGGCTAAGTTATTTCACATTTTCAACAGGAATACTGCCTCTCTACCTTCAATAATGTGTAAACACTTTTTTGCACCCTCAGTGTATTTTATATATATGTGGGGACAGGGAGAGAGCATGGGCACAAATACCTTCTTCAATCTTGTGGTCTATTTTATTTGTTTGAATAATGAATGGATTTTGAATTTCATCCAATATTTTCCTGTATTTATTGAGATGAACATTATTTTTCTTTATTTGCACAATATAATGATTCAGTGTTTGATTTCTGACTGATAAATCAATCTTACATTCATGGAATAGAAACCAACTTAATCATGAGGTATTTTTATAGATCACTGGATTCAATGTACTAATGTTTTGTTTAAGACTTAAAACTATGCTTATGAGCTAGATTGACTGGCAATTTTCTACTATTATGTATACTTTAGTTTGATTATCCTCATAAACCAAGTTGAGACAGGATGCATTGGGGCAGCGCTTGTGGCTAAGGAGTAGGGTGCTGGCCCCATATACTGGAGGTGGTGGGTTCAAACCCCGCCCTGGTCAAAAACTACAAAAAAATAAATAAATAAAAAGAAAAAAAGAGACAGGATGCATTCTCTCTATTATCATTCTCTGTAACAGTCTCTAAGATTGGTGCTATTTCTTCCTTATATACTTGAGAATATTTGATGTGGAAAACATCTGGGCCTGCAGATTTCTTTGCAGAAATATTTCAAACTATAAACTCTATTTTAATAGATATGACCTTTCAGGTTTTCTATTTTTTTTCCTGAGTTAAGTGGCTAAAGTTGTGTGTTTATAGGAATTTGTCCAATTGATCTAAATTTTTAAATTTATTGACATCAAGTTATTTGTAACAACCTTTTATTTTCCTTTGAATGTCTGCAGTATCTACAGTGACATCCACGTTTTTCTTCTTATTTTTCAAGATTGCATATTATTTACCCAATAGGTAATTTTTCATCCTGCACCTGCCTCCAACCTCCCATTCCTGAGTCTCCAATACCTATTATGTTACTCTGTATCATCATGCAGACATGCTGCTTAGCGCCCACTACCAAGTGAAAATGTGTAGTGTTTGGTTTTTTGTTTCTAAGTTAGTTCAATTAGGATATGACCCCCAGCAGTTCCAACCAATTTGCTGCAAAAGGCATTATATTCTTTTTCATGAATTGCATAGTAATTCATGCTGTGTGTATATACATACACATATGTGCTGTATATATGTATACACAGATGTGTGTATATATACCACATTTTATATACTATTCAATTAATGGGCATTTCCATTAGTTCCCTATCTTTGCAATTGTTAATTATTGTGATAAACATACAAGAGTAGGTGTCTTTCTTTTTTATTTTAATAAAATAACTTCTTTCTCTTTGGATAGATCCCTAGTAGTGGGACTGACCAAAAGGCAGATCTATTTTCAGTTGTTGGAGAAACCTCAAAGTGTTTTCCACAGGTTATAATAATTTACATTCCCACCAACTGTGTATAAATGTTTCCTTTAACCTCATCCACACCAGCATTTATTGTTTTTTATTTCTTAGTGTTTTTTTTTTAATTTTACTTTTTAGTAAAATCATTCTGACAGGAGTAAGTTATTATTTCACTGTGGTTTTAATTTGCATTTCCCTGATGATTAGTGATGTCAAACATTTTTTCATATGTTTGTTGGCTATTTTGTTTATTTTGAAAAATGTCTGTTCATGTCTTTTGTCCATATTTTAATGGGGTTGTTTCTTTCTTACTAATTTGTCCAAGTTCTTTATAGATTCTGGACAACCTTTTAAAGATGTGTAGGTTGTGAATATTTTTTCATAGTGGTATTCTGAGTTATCTATCTCTTAATTACTTCTTTTGATGCACAAGATCTTTTTACTTTAAGTCCTATTTATTATTTTTTTAATTTCAGAGTATTGCAGGGTACAATTTGTTTTGGTTACATGAATTGCTTTTGTACTGCCTGAGTCAAAGTTACAAGTGTGCCTGTCACCCAGATAGCGTACAGTGTTAAATCAGGCATGATTTAACCCATCTCCTCCTCCTCACTCCCACCTACTTGATACCTATTGAGTTTTACTTCCATCTGTGTATTTCATTAATTCCAATTTAATAGTGAATACATATGGTGTTTCTTTTTCATGCTTGCTTCACTGATAGAACTCCAGTTCCATCCAGATTGTTGTTAAACATATTAATTCATTTTTTTACAGTTGAGTAGTATGCCATGGTATACATATATCACATTTTATTAATCCACTAGTGCTGATTCCACATTTTTGCAATTGTGAATTATGCTGCAATAATAATTTGCGTGCACATCTTTTGATAAAAACTTTTTTTCATTTGGGTAAATATCCAGAATTGGGCTTGCCGGATCAAATGGTAGGTACACTTTTGGTTCTTTGAGGAATCTCCATACTTTTTTCCATAGAGGTTGTACTAGTTTGCAGTCCTGCCAACAGCGTATAAGTGTTCCTTCTGCTCCACATTCCCACCACCACCTATTGTTTTGAAATTTTTTTTTAGCCAGGGCTGGGTTTGAACGCACAACCTCCAGCATATGGGGCTGGCACCTTACTCCTTTGAGCCACAGGCACCACCCCTGTTTTGGAATTTTTTGATAAAAGCCATTTTCACTGGGATTAGGTGATATCTCACTTTAGTTTTAATATACATTTCCCTGATGATTAATGATGTTTAGCATTTTATCATATGTTTTATAATCCATTAGTTTTTATCTTTTGAGAAGCTTCTGTTCATGTCTTTTACCCACTTTTTAATGGGGCTGCTTGATTTTTTTCTTACTGATTTACTGAGTTCTTTGTATATTCTGGTTATTAGTCAATTATCAGATGTATAGAATGTGAACATTTTCTCCAATTCAGTATGTTTCTGCTGATTGTTTCCTTAGCTGTGCAGAGATTTTTTTCAGGTCTCATTTATTTATTTTTGCTGTGACTGCCATCAGTGTTGTCTTGATAAATTCTTTCCCAACATCTAGAAGAGTTTTCCCAACATTTTCTTCTAGAATTCTTATGGCTTCATGCCTTAGATTTAAGTCAGTTAACCACTGTGAACTAATTTATGTGGGTGGTGAGACATGGATTCTGTTTCAATCTTGTACATGTGCCTATCTAATTTTCCCAATGCCATTTATTGAATAGGGACTCTTTTATCTAGTGTATACTGTTTATACTGTTGTCTGATCAGATGGCAATGTGTGGATGGTTTTATATTTGTGTTGTCTTTTCTGTTCCATCGGTCTATGTCTCTTTTTATCTTTTTCTTTTAGAGTCACACTCTGTCACCCAGACTAGAGTGCCATGGCCTCAGCCTCACTCACAACCTC